TAGAGGAGTTGGGGAATGCTCCAAGAAGGTGGAGTGTGGAGCTAATTGCTCCAGCTGGCGAGGAAGGCATTTCTTCTAAGGAGCCTAAGGATCTACCAATGTTTTATTAGCCAGGGTTCCCTAAAGGAACAGAACTGACGATATATATATCACACACACACACACACACACACACACACACACACACACACACACCCCACATGGTTTACAAGGTGTGGTCCAGGCAGTTCAACAGTGGCTGTTTCACAACTGAAAGGGTGAGAATCGGTAGTTGTTCTGCCCAGGATACTGAATGTCTGCAGTCCCAATCTGGTGCTGGAGTGCTGGAGTGTTCCTGGTCTTCAGTCTGTGTTGGATTCCTGAAGATGCTGAATTTGATATTGGTTGTAGAAACAGGATGGATGGATGGACAGACAGATAGAATGAACTTGCCATCAAGAGTGAACACAGCAGTCAAAAAGAAAAGTGTCCTCTTCTGTATCCTTTTATATGGCTGCCACTGGAAGGTGTGGCCTAGATTTCAAATAATAGAATTAAGAAAACCCCTCTCAGAAGTGCCTAGAAGCTTGGGTTTTAATTGATTCCAGATGCAGTCAAGCTGATGGCTAATAAGTATGTCATCTAGTGCTGGAGAGATGGCTCAGCAGTCGAGAGACTATTTGCTCCTCCAAAGGTCCTGACTTCAATTTCCAGCAACCACATGATAGCTCACAACCATCTGTTTGAGATCTGGTGCCTTCTTCTGACATGCAGGCAGAACACTGTATACATAATAAACAAATCTATTTTTCTTTTTCTTTTTGGTTTTTTAATACAGGATTTCTCTGTGACTTTGGAGCCTGTCCTGAAACTACCTCTTATAGACCAGGCTGGTCTCGAACACACAGAGACCCGCCTGCCTCTGCCTCCCAAGTGCTGGGATTAAAGGCATGTGCCACCACCGCCCGGCTCAAATCTTAAAGCAAAAAAAAAAAAAAGTATGTCATCTAAAAGTTGATTTTGGGGCCAGGTGGTGGCCTTTAATTCCAGCACTCAAGTGGCAGAGGCAGTGGACTTTGTGAGTTCGAGGCCAGCCTGGTCTACAGAGCTAATTCCAGGACAGCCAAACTACACAGAGAAACCTTGTCTCAAACCCTCTCACTGTTCCCCCCCACACACCCCTGCCAAGTGATGGCAAGTCCTGGGGGTGGGTGTGAACTGGTCTTCAATTCTGTAGAAACCTAATTAAGGGGCTGGCCTTCTACAAATAAGAAGAGCCCTTTTCCTGGTTAGCTTCATAGAGTTCCCGAGAAGGGAAGAAATGTCAACTGAAGGATTGCCTGTGGGTATATTTGTAAGTAACTGCTTAACTTCATTGTTAATGGGGAGGAAGGGCCTGCCTGGCCTGCCCTGGGCAGAATCATCTCTAGTTTTTTTTTTTTTTTTTTTTGCAGAACCATCTCTAGGCAGTAGTCCTGTTGATGTGATGTCAGAGCTAAGGGCTGGCCAGCTAGGAGTCCATGTTCTTCCTAAGGATGAACAAAGAACTGAGGGGAAGAAGTAAAAACTCAGAAAGCTGGAAACAAGAGTTCACTGAAGCAGAAAGCGGGTAATAAAGTAGAATAAGATTTTTTTAAAAAAGAAAGAGTCTTAGGTTCATTGATTTATTCAGGCACTTACTGAAAGCACTACTTGTTCTGCCTGTGGCTACCTGGAGCACAATAACCTGGAGAGGCTGCTGAAACAATGGGTTGTTGCCCTTAACCATCAGCTGACTACCACTTCTGCTTCTGTGAACTGCCCCCCCCCCCCCCCCCAGGGTTTCTCTCTGTGTAGCTTTGGAGCCTGTCCTGGAACTCACTCTGTAGACCAGGCTGTCTTTGAACTCACAGAGATCCTCCTTTTTTTTTTTTTTTTTTGGTTTTTTTGAGACAGGGTTTCTCTGTAGCTTTGGTGCCTGTCCCAGAACTAGCTCTTGTAGACCAGGCTGGCCTCGAACTCCCAGAGATCCACCTGCCTCTGCCTCCCGAGTGCCAGAGATCTGCCTTTAATCCTTTAATCCCGAGTGCTGGGATTAAAGGTGTGCGCCACCACCGCCCGGCACTTCTGTGAAATCTTGCTTGCCAGCTCGCCATGCCTCGTGGTTTAGAGTATAAAATAAGAATGGCAACTAGACCTGATAGCAAGGCCTTTCAGGAGGCATCCTGACTTTGATCCACGCGTGACAAGGCCCTGCTTCCGCTTTTATCGCTATTGGGAGTGCTTGTTCTAGAGATTCCTGCAACAAGAGCAAAAAAGCATCTGGAGGGACAGGGTCAGTCTTCAAAGTTGGTAGACCGCCAAGAGGTCTCTGAGCTGGTCTCTTCAAAGGCTCCCTGGACCATTTCTTCCATTGATCCTCTTCCACTTCATGTGCTGGGCCCAGACAGACGGTATTGTTAGGCAGAAATAGAAAAAACACCTCACTGTCCAGAGAATGGTTCTGGTTGATTGATGGCCTTGTTAAGGGCACTCTAGATGTTGTGTGAGCAGCTTAGCTCCTTCCCATGTGGGAATGTTACCTTTCTCTGGCCATTTTCCTAACTGCCCTCCTCTCTCCCTCCCCCCCACTCCCCCCCCTGCCCCCGCACTAACTCTTCCAGTCCTGAGTGTAGCTAGAGGATCATGGAAGATACTCCTGACTTCTTGCGGAGTTGACTCTGTGTGTGTGCACGTTAACTGATAAGAAATAAAGCTTGTTTACAGTGTGACCCTGCTCAGTTTTCTGAGAGTTTAGGAGATTGCTCAATATAGGGTCAAAATCTAAGGCTGTGGGGTGTGGGCTGCAGGATTCGGGTAAGAGGATCCACCTAGGTTTAGGTGGAGATCTGGGTCCCTGGAGTAAAGTGGGGAGCTAATGGCTGATGGCTTCAACTCAGCAGTGATGCTAACTGTGACACCAGAGTCATAGCAAGAGACTTTGGGAAGAGACTTGCTGACATCACTGCAGTGAAACCAGCAGCTGTCTTCCAGAATATTGTCTTCCAGAATACCCAGCTCTTTGGATGCAGGAAGGAGGAAGACAGAAGAGTTCTGAACAATGAGAAAGTATGTGTACAGAAAGGGAGACTAGCCACAGGTCACTGTTGTGAAGAGGCTGCTGGTTCATTTCCCGGCTGCCCAGACTCCCGAAATAATCACACAGAAACCATATTATTTGAATCACTGCTTGGCTCATTAGCTCTAGATTCTTATTTGCTAACTCTTATCTTTTTTTTTTCTAAATATTTATTTATTATGTATACAATATTCTGTCTGTATGCCTTCAGGCCAGAAGAGGGCACCAGATCCCATTACAGATGGTTGTGAGCCACCATGTGGTTGCTGGGAATTGAACTCAAGACCTTTGGAATAGCAGGCAATGCTCTTAACCTCTGAGCCATCTCTCCAGCCCCCTAACTCTTACATCTTAATTTCACCCATCTCCATTAATTTATGCATCACCATGAGGTTGTGGCCTAACAACAAAGTTTCAGCATGTCTGTCTCCAGCTGTGGCTCCATGGCTTCTCCTTGACTCCTTCTTCCTCCCAGCATTCAGCTGAGTTTTCCCCGTCTAGCTCTGTTCTACCCCATCAGGTCAAGCCAGTTTCTTTTTATTCATTAATCAATAAAAGCAACACATAGACAGAAAGACCTCCCATACCAGGTCACAGACAGCTGTTTAGGCTGGAGCAGGCAAAGGGATTAGAAGGATTGAATGGAGAGAGGCTGGGAAGTGTTTCAGGAAATAATGTGGCACACATGTCTACCTCTATATTAGTGGTCACACACACCCCTCAGGCCTTCGACTCCTGCTGCTACTGGTGTGGTGTGGAGTCTAGGTGTCCCAGGCTGACTGGGACCTGGTTCTACAGTCTGCAAGTTCATGGAAGCCATGTTGACAAAGAGCTGAGAAGTGTAGTGAGAGGAAGGTGTCTGTCACTCTGGCTTCCTGGGGGTGGTCACTGATCTGGCACCTAGGCTCAAGCAGCTTATTCTTCACTTCCTCTGAACTTGACATTTCCTCCTCCATACTTGATTACTGTCATAAAATCTGCATGGACTTAACAACTAAACCACCTCTTGGGCGAGGCTCCCTTCCTTTCTGTTCAGTCTATCACAGACAAGGGTCTGTTCAAATCGACCCCCAAATCCCTGTTCTACATCCCCCCCCCCAACAAAGGAGCAGCTAGCTGGTGGGTGGGTAGGACAGGGGGAGGGTGGTGGCAAAGGTGAGATCTATGTAGTTTCCTCTGCGGGGGCTTGGCAGTATTGGAGAAAGGCAAGGAAAAGTTTATAAAAATCAAACATTTGGGCGCTGGCAAGATGGCTCTTCCAGAGGTCCTGAGTTCAATTTCCAGCAACCACATGGTGGCTCATAATCACCTGTAATGAGATCTGGTGCCCTCTTCTGGCCCACAGGGATACATGCAGGCAGAATATTGTATATATAATAAATAAATCTTTAATAAAAAAAAAAATCAAACATTTACAGAACACACAAGCTTTCTGGGCACCACTGGCTCCAGCCATTACCCACTCTGTGCCGCTTCTTCAGAGCCCATCAGCCCATTCTGCTACTGATGCACGGCCTTTTCAGTTATACCCAACTTCAGAGCTGAGCCAGTCCTAGCTTGCTGGCTATGCTGACAGCTCTGCATGACATTGGACCTGCAGAATAGCGGCCAGGGCCACTCCAGGAGCAGACAAGACCATTGCTGCTTCCTCAGAGGCAGAGCTGTAGAAGTGGGGCCATCCTGTGTGCACAAAAAGGCTCCAGAAAAAAGCTAGAAAGCCAGACCAGAAGCCCAGCCCTGGGTACGGAGGAGCAGGGCTAACCTTCATGCAAAACGCTGTAGAGCACAGTGGGAGCCGTGGTCCGGGGCCGAGTCCCACAGCTAGTTTTGGGAGCTCCCTGAGGCCTTCAGAGTGCTCTAAGTTGCTGTGAACTGTGCTATGTGCCACTGTCTTCAAGTCATTCCACATACAACTGTATAAACAACCAATTTTATTTTTAAGTTTTACAAAATTGAGAAAATATATATATTCCTTTGAAATATTTCACAAAAATATACTTTCATGTCAATCAAATCTATTGTTATCACTTTAATTTACCATATAATATTCCATTCTAGGCCCATACCATAACTTAGCATACTTCTTATTACAGAATATGTAATATTTTTCTTTTTTCCCTATTACAAACATAGCATTGGTTTATACATTAATACTATCATTTCTGTAGAAATAAGTCAGTCCTGTCAGCACTGATACTAGGATGTCTGAGGGGCAGATGGAGAGAAGCATGTACTAAGACATTTACTCAATGTTTGTTCGAGACAGGGTCTTCTGTAGCCAAGGCTGGCCTAGAACCTATTTGGCAAGAACACCTTGAACTCCCAATCCCCTGCCCCCACCCGAGTGCTGGACACATGCGTGTACACCACCAGACGACTCAATGTTATTGCATGACTATACAAAGTGTTGGGGTACAGTGACAAGCCCGAGCCCCCCATTAGTGTGCTTCCTTCCCCTGTGGCTGGTCTAGCCCACCTTCTAATGGTGCCACAAAAATGACATCTGAGAGCTGTAGGGGACAGGAGATTGCGGAGGGCACCAATGGGAACAGAGCATATGGTACAATTTGCCACTTTCCTTTCTCTGTGCTCCCCAGCACAGATGGGATACAAGTCTGAACACTTGGTGTCCCAGACTCCCTTGCAGCAGATTTCTGCTAAGGTCACACACCGACACATGTCTCTGCAGAGGCATGTGCTGATGGAGGGACACAGGCCAGCAGCAGTAGACAGCCTGGGGTATGGGAGCAGCTGGTTGGAACATGGGAAAATTGGGGTGGTCTGCAGGACTATACAGCTTCTCTGCACTCCTCCTGTTGGCTCCAGCATACCACCGAACAATCTGTGTGTGTATGCTTGAGACAAGGTCTCATTATGTAGCCCAGGCTGGCCTCAATCTTGTGACCCCCTTTGCCTGTACAGTGTGATCTCGTAGAACACCTTGTGTTACCTAAACCCCGGTAGAAAGTTCTCTCTCTGTAACACCCTTGGTGGTTTCACTTTCCTGACTTACAGAGGAGCCTCCTTTCACCCTGTACTAGACTCCTATGGGAGCTGTGCATCAGCTGGACAAATTCTTCCAAGACTAACAGCTGAGCTTCCGCAACGAACGCAAGTGTGCCAGCAGCTATGACCACCAGCAGTCCACCCAGAAGAGAAGATGCGCAGGAAGAGGTCCAGGGGAACAGAGAGCAGTCTGAGGAAGAGGAGGACCGCAGTCACTGCACACCAGGGGCACTGGAAAAGAGCAGAGCGACACCTGTCAGGAAAGGGCAGCTTTCTCATCTTTCTGCGCATAGTGTTCTCTCCAACAACTGCAGGGCCAGGGTTGCTTTGGTTCAATGGGACCAGCGGTGCAACCGTGTCAATATAATGGTCCAGAGGTATTCAATCAGCTCATGCTTTTCACAGTCACACATGAAGGGGTCCCTGCAGGTGCCACAATGGGAAGTGAAACCTGGTGCACATTGACTTCATCAACCTGGATCAGACTTCAGGGAGTCTAAAGCCAGGTAGTTCATTATCAATATATTTAAAACACAGTATAATTTGGGAAAAGGTTTCCAGGCACCAGTCAGTCCAATTAGTTCAATTCCAGGTGCATATGCAACTACAAAGAGATTCTTTTATATAGTACATGTGACCATAAGGGTGGGTTCTATAGCTAAAAGGCCTAGAATCTAGTGTGTCTCTGACAAATATACAGGTCACCAGGACACACGGTACATGTGACATCTCCCCTAAGGATGGGTAAGAGTCTAGGGAGGGAAGAGTCTGGGATAATCATCCTGGGGAGTTAGGGTGAGGCCTGCACCTATAGCAAAAGATGAGTGAGGTCTGTCTCCACAGAGAGAAGGTCACCAGGTCGTTAATAGAATCCACTCTTGGCTTTCCGGATGGGAAGCGGGTATCTGATTTTATCTCCTCCATGGAGAAGACATCCCTGTGTGATTAATATTCCTGGTTCTCTTGGTGCTTGTCTGTGAGCACAGGACTTCTGTGCCCCCAATACACGCAGACTTTAAGGTGAATACTAATACTTTTAAAGATACACAGGTGTGCATGGGTGCTGGGTGCACATGTATGTGCATGCAGAGGGTAGAGGGCAGTCTCTGGTGTTCCCCAGGAGCTGTGCTGTCCACCTCATTTCTTCAGGTATGCTCTTTTACTGGGTCCTGTGACTTGCTGATTAGACTAAGCTGGCCAGCTAGCCCTCAAGATCTTCTGGTTCTCACAGCCCAAGCGTAGGTACAAGGTGGTACATGCCACCATGCCTGATTCAACTTTTCAACCTGAGAGCTGGGGATCCAACACAGGATCTCATACTTGTGAACTTGTGAGTAAGCACTCCATTGGCCAAGTCTTCTTCTCAGAGTTTTTTTTAATGTACATTGGTCTGTGTGCATGTCTGTTTAAGGGTGTTGGATCCCCTGGAACAGGAGGTGCAGACAGTTGTGAGCTGCCATTTGGGCGTTGGGAATAGAACACTGGCCCTCTGGAAGAGCAGCCAGTGCTCTCCAGCCCCTCCCGATGTGTTTTAATGCTCATCCATCCATCACAATGTTTTAATGTTCACCCATTCATCATACCATTCCCCGTATCTCCAGACAGGGTTTCTCTGGGTAGCCCTAGCTGTCCTGGAACTCACTCTGCAGTCCAGGTCTGCCTCAAACTCAGAGATGCACCTGTCTCTGCCTCCTGACTGTTGGGATTAGTGGTGCGCACATCCACTATGCCCAAGTCATACCATTTTTAACAGACAAGATCTTCTTGCCTCGTCAGATCTGGGAACTTTCTCCCCGCCATCCCCAAGGTTTACATATTAAAGGCAAGGTCCCTAGGGCAGTGTCAATTGTAGATGGTGTTTCCTCCTGGGAGTTCTTTATGACATCAGGTGAGCCTTGAAAGGGATTGTGGGATTTCCCCCTGTTCTCTTTTGCGTCCTGGCTATGAGGTAAATGACTTTACTCTCACATGTGCTAGCCACACTGCATTGCCGTCACAGGCCCAGAGTAACAGCACCAATGGGGCATGGACTGGAACCTCTAAGGAGAAAACCAAAGTGAACGCTTCTCTTTCTGAGGCAAGCAACTCAGCTGCTCAGCTACAGCAAAGAGCTGACCGACACACGGGCATAAACATAACCAAACTAAAGGAAAAGGGCAAGAATTGCACTTACCTGGGCTCCTCTGAGCCCTCCCCATCGCTGTCGTCATTGCAATAGAAGATGTCTTTGAACAGGAAGTCTTGTTTGGGAGCTGAGGGCGTCTGGATCTGGCTACTGTTTTTCTCCTTCTTCTTGTCTAACTTTTCCTTCAGCAAAGGCAGACTGGTCTCATATAAGTAGTCAATGATCTCTGCAGAAAAGGTCATTTTGGAATTATTTGTACACGTCTCCAGTTAAGGTCAAAGGACACAGGCCATTAACAATGCCCTGCACTCATTACCACACGTAAGATCCACCTTAACTGGGGCACACAGTCTCTTAGGCAGTCTTTGAGAGAATCCCTAGGCAGGCATTACTCTATCCTTATTTTTCTGTTTGGCACAGGGCACTCTCTCTAGTGTACACAGGTATACAAGTCTCTGTGAGTACATGTGTATAGATATACACACAAGTGCACATACGTGGAGGCCAGAGGTTGATGTGAGGAGCTTCCTCAATTGCTTTCCACCTCATGTCTTGAAGCGGGCTCTCAGTGAACTTGGAGCTCTGTAGTTTTATAGGTTTGGCTAGAGTGGCCGGCCAGGGAGCTCTGGGGATCCTCTTGCCTCTGTGTCTCCAGAACTGGGATTCCAGGTGTGCACTGCTCAGCTTCCCATGTGCTTGCTGGCGACCCTAACCCAGGTGTGCACGGCTGCATAGTCAGTGCTCACTGAGACAACACCTGCTCCCTCTAACCCATCTTTCCAATGAGGAACGGAGCCTGATGGCATTAAGAAACCGCTGCAGGGCTTTAGAACACTCTTCAGGACAGCGGCCCTGCTCCGTGCCTCCAGGCACAGCACTGTTAGGAGGTAGCAGAGCAGAGCAAACTGCAATCTTATCAGAGCTCCTGGACTCAGCCTGAAGTCAAGGGGAGGTTTTGAGGTGCCATGTAGACTAGTAACCCTGCTGTGTAGCAGAGGCTGGCCTCTAACTCACAGAGATTCCCCTGCCTCTGCTTTCCTATTGCTGGGATCACCACACCCGGACAACACAATACTCTTAACCAGACAAGGATTTGTAATACTGACCTGGAAAAGTCTTTTTCTGCCAAAAAGGAACACAGGCAGCTTTCAGCTTATAAAATTTTGCCTGAACAAAAGGTGGAGGGACATCCCTTTAGAAAGGAAAGGTAGGGGAAAAAAAGTCAATCAAAATGTCATCAGTTCTTTCTGTGACAGGGTTTCACGGACCCCACACAGGCCTGGAACACACGGTATAAGGATGACTCTCGATCCTCCTGCCTTCACCCTGAGTGCTGGTGTTATAGGTGTGCATCACACCTGAGTTGATGTGGTGCTGGGGACAGAGCCCACTGCTCTGTCCTGCCACATGGGAGGCAGCACTAGCCCAGCTGAGCTGCACCCTCAGCTTCTCTCCTATCAGTGGGCACACCACCACTGGGTTATTCTGCATATAACTAGCTCCAAACACAGTGAGAGTTGACTCTCTAGAAACAGAATTACTGATTTCCAAATGGAATTACTTAAATGCTGAAGGATACCAGGCCACAAACTAGATATAATTTACTAAAAAAAGGCAACAATCAGGAGGTGGACAAAGAAGTTTAGTGAGGCTGGCCAGATATGGCGCATTTCTGAAGATGGCAGTGGGTGTATAGAGCTCCATTTGTTCTTTTATCTGTCTAAACTTCTGATAAAAGGTTAAAAACTACTAGGCGTTGTTGATAAAGCAGTGCTTAGGAAAAAGCTTATTAAAAAGAAGGATTCTCAAGAAGCTGAAAAACAAACTCAGAGAGCAATGGAAGACCAGGAGAGGAGTGGAAAGAGGGTCATCAAGGTCACGGCCAGCCTGAGCTGTGGTAAGACACGGGAGGGGGGGGGGATGGATGAATGGTAAGGGGGGGAAGGAAAGACAATTGTAAAGGACTAGTAGAGTCCCTGATGAGCCTTTAGGTAGAGAAGGAGAAAGTGCACAACCAGTCTGAGCTCTGATGGTGGACACGGTCCACGTCCTGCAGGCCTCCTGCACAAATGCTCTGGGAAGGGAGCAGATGCTGGCTTCCTGTGGGCAGAGGGCTACTCACTGCTTCTTTTCATGCATCCCTTACTCTGGACAAAGCTACCTGTTCTCTATTAAAAAATAAAACAACATCAAACTGTACTGGCTAGCTTTATGTCAGCTTGACAACCTCAACTGAGAAATGTCTCCACCAGACTGGTCTTCAGGCAAACCTCTGAAGCATTTTCTTGAATATGGGAGAACCTTGCCCACTGTGGGTGGCGCCACCTCTGGGCTGATGGTTCTGGGTGAGAAAGCCATGTTCCTGGACTCTGCATCACTTCCTGCCCCCAGGTTCCTGTCCTGCTCTGACTCCTCTCAGTGGCTGCAAGTGAGAATTACCAGGGAATGTAAAAACCTGACAACCGGGCAACACCATTCCAACAGCAGCTGGATGCGGCACCGCTAGCCCTAAAAGGTTCTCCAGTTCTTGGAGGCGAAGGCGGGAAGATGGTGAGTTTGAGGCCAATCTAGCTACACAGCAAGATCCTGCCACAGAACACAGCAAAAGCAAAGTGAAGCCCAGATCAGTGTGAGCAGGTGCTGTGTGTGGAGGCTGGAGGGTGAAGTCACGTGTCTTCCTCTGTCACTGCCTACCTTATATGCTGAGACAGTCTGGAGCTCAGGGGATCCACCCTCCCAGCACTGGGGCTACAGACGCCAACACCATGTCCAGCTTTGCTATGTGGACTCAGATCCTTGTGCCCCAGTGGCAAGCGCTTAATAGACTGCCTGAGTCTGATCTCCACAACCACGTGGTGAAAGGACAGAACTGAGTCGCATGAGTTTTCTGATTGCTGTATGTGCACTGTACACATGCACACTCATGCAGACACACACTCAGACACAGGTACACATATACACACTCATACATATGCAGACACGTACACTCATACACGCGCACACACACATGCACACTCATAAACATGCATATCCATACCTATACACACACAATAAAAAGTTATTTTAGCTGGGCATGGTGGCTCATGCCTTTAATCCCAGCACTCAGGAAGCAGAGGCAGGAGGATCTCTGTGAGTTCAAGGACAGAGTGAATTCCTGGACAGCCAGAGCTGTAACACAGAGAAATCCAAAAAAAAAAAAAAAAAAAAATTATTTTTAAAACGTTCTACGATTGAACGATTGAATAAGCTTAATGTTCAGTAAATGGTCTTACCCTATGGCACTAGCAAGATCCTCCCAATCTATTTCATTAGCATCATTCACATTTAGTTCATATAACCTGTAAGAAAGAATAAAAATTCCAAGTCAAATCCACCTCCACAGACTCACAGACTACCAAGAGCTGAAAGGCCAAGGGCTTCCATCTTATTCCAGTCCCCACAAGTACACTGTCCAGCCTAGTCCGAGGTTAGTCCAAGGTCAGAGAGCAAGCTCTGGAGATGAGCTGAGAAGCATCTCCCCATTCCACACAGCCTCTCAGGAACAGTGCCCTGCACTCCAGTCCAGTGCTCAAGACACCATTAGTATTGAACATGTACCACTCATGCAGTGACGCTCCCTCCGCACCATGGGCTGGGGCACCAGCCCCATTCTGCAGACAAGTACATGGAGCTTAGGGACTCGGCCACCAACTCAATTTGTCATGACAACCGAAGTGGTGAAACCCTGAACCCTAGTCCTGCCTGACCTGAGATGTCTTCTCAGATTGGCCAACTTGTCTCTCTTGCAGAATGAAGGGTGAGGCACAGCAAGCCAGGGTTAACACATAGGAAGCATGGCAGAGTGATGGGACTAAGAAGCTGGACAGAATGGCCACAACCATGGGCCTCTGCTGCTCTTGCTGCCACTCCAACATAAGCCTGTGTCTGCCAGACTCACAGGTGTCAGAGATGCTCATGCCTCCACTTCCCTTGGGCTACTGTGGTAAGGACTCTGCATAGACAAGGAACTCAGGACAAAGCCGAGCAACAGTTGCACCAACAGGTCACTGCGGTATAGCGGGGCTAACTTTGCCATCACCAACTCCCAATGGACAGGAATAGCACACCCATAGGACAGCTCTGCAGACTCAACTAACGACTTTAACTGAGAACACAGTATGGCCACCATGCATTGTCCCAAGAACACTGGGAAGCAGGTAACTTCTCTTCATCAGCCCCATTCAGAACTGGTCAGAACAGAGATTCAGAAAGGCAGGCCACACCAGCTGTGACACACGTGGAAGGTGGGTCTAAGCAACAGCATCCTAGCTCGGGATTAACAGTGGTTCACACAGCACCCGCCCCTATTTCAGTACCTTTCAATAAGGGTGATTTTGGCTTGCAGAGCATTGACGCCACGATACACGAACCCACCTTGGGTCATCCTTTTGGTGAGAATCTCTGTCCTGTTTAAAAAAAAAGAAAGAAAAATGTCAAATACTTTTAGTTTAAAAAGCACAAATTTCCCTTACTTTTAGTATAGAGAGTAAAAAGCCTGTGCACAGATAAGCACTGGAGAAGCCAGGAGAGTTACACACAGCTCACCCTTCAGTGGAGTGAGGTGCGTAGCTGCTCTTCCTGCAGTGCCATTTACAACCTGGGGATCCTTTGTTGTCTGAAGAGAGAGGCTCTGCCTGTGTCTCCCAGAATTTTTTTTACTTATCCAAGCAAGACCTTTCCCCCAAATCACTCTTATGAGTGATGTCACCTGTGCTTTACAACAGCCTAAGTGACTTCTGTGTTATCTTAGGGCCAGGCCAACTGGACACCCACAGACACTATGTTCACCTGAGTCAAACAGCCTCAACCCTAAATCTTAGGCACTTTCTCTGAGTTAACAGTTCCCATTCTTGTGAAAGAAACCAGATGTACTTTGTAAGGAATCTCAATGTAAACATGTCTCAAATTGTTGTGCACTTGGGACTGAGTTAATTGTTATCTGAATACCTTTTTCCAAAAATTGTGCTGTGCTCAAATATGGCTCAAGTAAAAGGATCTGGGCCAGACAGGCTCTTGAAGTCCTGGGCCAGTGCCAGTTACAATAAAAATCGGGCTGAGTTTTGTTCTTGTCTCTCTGTGGGTCGTTTCTTCCCTGCCTGCTGTACCCTGCAGGGAGCCCCGCAGCACATGAACTGCTCTCACTCGATGGGCAGAGTAAATAAACAGACAGGAAGGTCATGACTGTTTAATGGGGCTAATGGGGAGGAGAGGTATAGTTTGTGGTATGAAATCTGGGTAAGGACAATTTTTTTCAAATTGATAAATGACAATTTTTGGTTTTACACATAAAGGCTGGTGAAAAACCATTACTAGTTCTATAAAGTGGAACACTCCAATTGAGAGTCACAGTATACTTATGAGTATTATTTTCTCAGTGCAGCAGCATGCTGGCTTCACTGCAGCACAATGGAGTCCATGTTAAGTGTAAGTTCCACCCAGCAGGGCTGGACTACAAGCTCTCATCACCTTCCTGTTTTCTTCTCAGTTCCTTTGCCAATTCACTGGCTGTACTTTAAGATATCATATTAGTAAAAATAAGACTTTTTAGACCCAATTAATCATGGATTAATCAGAACATTCCAAACTGCTGGTGCTGCAGGAAGTGAAGCTTTCGCAGGAGGGGACTGAGAAGACATCTGTGCTGTAGGCCTGTGCACCAGGAGGGACCCTAGAGAGCGCACTGTAAACAGACAAGGCTGTGGGCTTGGTGTGGGTAGACTATGTCTGTTAGTAACAGAGCCAACATTACCCCTCGACTGGTATTCTTCCAGTAGAGTAGAAGACTCTCTTCATAAAGTCTCAAGCCTATAATGTGGAACCTTGAAGCAGTATCCATCAGGCGCAGGTAATCCAGGACCCGAGTATGGCTTGATTAACGGCAAAGGGGTTTGATTTCTTTGCTTTGGGAAATTTTGAGTACGTGGAGGCCAGAGGTTAACATTGGCTGTGCTCCTCTACTGCTTTCCACCTTACTGTTTGACACAGGGTTGTTACTGAACCTGGAACTCAATGACCAGAGCAAAGGCCACCAATGAGCTCCAGGGATCTGTCTGTCTCCAGCCTCATCCCACCCCCTGTGCTGGGGTTATAGACACCTGATTTTTACATGGGTGCTGGAGACCTAAACTCAGGTTCTAATGCTTTACCCACTGGGTCATCTCATTTCCTCAGTCCCATAAAGTAATAAATCTATTTACAGGTGATGAAGTATAATATATATATAGTTTTGTTTTGTTTGAGATAGGGTTTCTCTATATAGCCCTGGTTGTCTGTCCTGAACAGACACCTACTCTGTAGACAAGGCTAGCCTCAAAATCACAGAGATCCACCTGCCTCTACCTCCAGAATTCTGGGATTAAAGGTGTGCGCCACCACCACTCAGCTGCAAATGCTCTTTGGGGTTGTTTATAAATAGGTGGCTATAGGGGTTGGAGAGATGGCTCAGTTTAATTCCCAGCAAACACATGGTGGCTCACAACTCACCCTAACTTTAGTTTTAGGATATCTGATGCCTTCTTCTGACCTCAGAGGGTACCAAGTATGCATATGGCACACAGACACATATGCAGTCAAAACAACCAAACACATAAAATACATATAAACATATAAAGAAAGGACCAACAGGTGGCTTCCTTGTTCCTATCACTAGCCTCTGAACAGTCAGTGTCAAATTAGAGAGAACTGATGTACTGACTCCCAGTGCCAGTAGCTAGTGGTTGGAGGAAAGGGCCGACTGTGTACCAGGGAGAGCATCAGCAGTTAGGGTACACACAGGATTGCTCACAAAGGACACAATCCATCGCAATCAGCCCGACAGATCACTTCTTCCATGTACATGCTTTCTCTCACTTCCGTGTACATGCTTTTGAAACAGTGTCATGCTTTATAGCCCAGGTTGGCTTTGAACTTTAAAATCCCTGCCTTCAGCCTCCTGAATGCTGGGATGACAGGCTTGTATTGCCATGCATAACACACACATAGCTAATCCGCACTGTTCTTCCCAACCACTAGCTGTAGATTAAACACACTGCTTGATTTCATTTCAAGTTACGACCTGCCCAGGGGTTGAGGCTCCTCTTTCTCTGTTCATGTTAAACACACCTTGCACATCTTCTGTTGGCTCAGAAGCAGCACAGCCCCCCAATCATTCCCCCTTCCAGCACTGAAACATCACCCTCCAGCTGAGGCTCAGAACCTACTCTCCTGTTGCACCCTAAAATTGAAGAGTAGAAACGGTCCCATTTCCTCTACACACTCCCAACATTATCTGTTCTTTGGGGTTTCTTTCCCTGAGCACTGATGTTTGTTAAACACAGACTAGGCTGGGAACTTAGCTCAGTGGTGGAGTGATTACATAGCATGCATTTGGTCCTGGGTCTGAATCCCAGAACAAAACCAAAGCAAAGCACCCAAATATCCCAAACAGAGCTGAAAGGTGTTAAAAGGGCAGTACAATTCAGGAGGCAACCTATTTTATTTTATTTTATTTTATTCTTTTTGAGACAGGTTTCTCTGTAGCTCTGGACCTTGTTTTGGAACTAGTTTTGTTTTTTTGTTTTTTTTAATGAAATGTTTATTTATTATTTGTACAGTGTTCGGCCTCCATGTATTCCTGTAGGTTAGAAGAGGGCACCAGCTCTCATTACAGATGGTTGTGAGCCACCATGTGGTTACTAGGAATTGAACTCAGGACCTCTGGAAGGCTCTTAACCACTGAGCCATCATCTCTCCAGCCCCTGGAACTAGTTCTTACAGACCAGGCTGGCCTTGAACTCACAAAGATCCACCTGCTTCTGCCTCCAGAGTGCTGGGATAAAAGGCACATGAGCCACCACAGCCCAGCGCAGGAGTCTGCTTTTAATGTAAAGTACTTCTCTGGATTTTACTCATTTGGAAGGTGAGGGTCACCAAACGCCTTGGACATAGTGTGGGTTCAGTCCATGAGGAATCCCTGCTGCAGTGAGGATGTAGCTGGACACTCAGGCTCGACCCTCCAGAGCTCGGGAAAGTGAGAGGACATGCAGCCAGAAGGAAACAGTCTATGGTAGCCAGGAACTAAATCAGCGCATGACTATGAGGGCGCTGCAGAGCAGCCCCCAGCAGCCACTGCCCTAACCTCAAACCAAGCAAGGCCAAGCAACTCTGCCACTAGGCTCTGATCTCCCTGGACACGCATTTCTATCAACTGCTTGAGTTTTGCAGACATGTAACTTCTGGGGTTATTCAGCATAACATGGGGGTATAAAGAGTACTTCCTTAAAGCTGTTTCAATTAAAAAATTTATTCTTCCTGCCTTACTAAAGACATGAAAGATAGTCAAGAGTCACAATCCATCTCAATCTACTGCTCAGGCTAGCCCCAAATCTCCTGCCTCAGCTTCCTGGATTCACAGATAACAAGTCTGTCTTTAAGTTCTGTATGAGGAAGAAATAAACCCCTGCAAAGAAACTGCTCCCCATGTGCACACTGTCAATCAAGGTTAGGTACTGATTGAAGCAGGTGCAGCATTCTCGACACTGTGTGTTGTGCACAGCTATATATAGGCTCACCCAGGCCAAACAAATAAGAGAAACCCATCAAAATAGACACAGGAAGTCTTACACTTACCACTTACTTTTGCACTGCATCCAGTTTCTGGTCTCCACTTTGGCTTCCACTTCCACCCATGAAATGCCCTTGTACAGTTTTTCCCGGACAATGGACAGGCGACCTTCAGGGTCTTCCTGGAGTCTAGAATCCAGCTCTCTTAACTCCTGGGGAGACATTTTCTTTAGGATCACATCCTCCACAGCCTTGATTAGTCTCTGGGTTTCAGTCTTACTCCAAGCACCGTGGTTTATATCTGTAGGCATAAAAGGATGACCTTGTAGTTGTTCATCTATTTGCTTTCTAAGCACAGTTAAAAGGAGATGTTGCCAGGTGATAGTGGTGCACGCCTTTAATCCCAGCACTCAGGAAAGAGAAGCAGGTGGATCTCTGAGTTTGAGGCCAGTCTGGCCTACAGAGTGAGTTCTAGGACAGCCAGAGCTGTTACAGAGACAAACCTGTCTCGAAAAACCACACACACACACACACACACACACACACACACACACGCCACTAAATAAAAATGATAAATAGGAGATGATAAATCAGGCCCTTTCCAGAAAACAGTAGGCAACAGCTCAATCAAACCAACCTAAAATAATTGACAATAGTTATTCTTGTTTTTTGGTTTATGAGACAGGGTCTCTCCATGTAGCCCTGGCTGTCCTCAACTCACTATGTGGACCAGACTGGCCTCAAACTCAAAGATCAGCGTGCTTCTGTCTCTCAAGTACTGGGATTAAAGTGGTGCACCACTCCTTCTGGTTTAAGTCTAACACTCTGGGACAAAGAGACTGCACACCTCCCTTTCTGAGGCTCCCTCCTGGCCAGCTTCTGGAGGACCAGCATAAGAAAAAGGATTCACGCAACAAGATATGGAACTGAGGCATGGTCAGTGGGCTCAGTAAATAAAGCTAGTTTCACTGACAGCACACAAAGAAGCCAAATGAAGTAACAGAGAGAGCAGGTACTAAGAGTGGGCCCACAGAGACCTCTGCACTAGCTTATTCCACAGTGAGACAGGCCACTTACGACCACCAATCTGAGAGTACTTCAGGGCAACAGAGAGGCTGCTTCGGGCTACCATTGCCCCGATCTTTTTCCAGTCGTTTCCATGGAGGGAATGGTATGCCTTTAGCTTCTTAGTATCTTCTTCATTGTACCTGAGAGAAGGAAAATGGATGTTTAATGAAGTCCAAGACTAGAAAGGGTACCTCATGGCGCTACTTTGGGAAAGCAGAAGGCAGCACTGACAGGAAGCCATGTCCCTCCTACCAATGGCTGGAGCCCCTCACTGCCTGTCTCAGCATTTCAGTGGTGGTCATGCCCTTAGTCATAGCTGGCCAGAGCCAAAGGCCAGAGCAAACCACCTGAGCTTGTTCTTACCCCACAGGCTCTGTGCTGGCTTGGACATGGCTTTCTCCACCCACCAGACGGCCATCTGCATGGTACTCTGCAAGGAGCGCTGCACTGTTCTAGGCTTGTCTTTGGCATCTATGGACCCTTGGATCACACTACTTCCTCTAGACAGTGCTGACTGCTGCCGAGCAAACCCTTGTGTAAGCCACTCGGCCTGCTTCACGCCCCCACAAGGAGGACTTAACTTCACTTAGTATTAGCAAGATTACCATGAGAAGAAGCTTCCTCTGATCTAGGCATGTGACTCCCTGGTTCAGCCGTCTCTGGCAAGCACAAGGCCTGGGTTCCACCCCAGTGCGTGGCACAACACTTCCAGTTAGTGTTGGAGGGCATTCATGACCTCCATTCTAAACCCACTCTCACCATACATGGCAATAAGGGTTAACTCCATGAGGCTGGAAGTCATACAGGAGTTGGCACAGCTGGGAGGCAAGGCCCACGAGGAAGGGACCTTGTCAGATTGTTCTCTCTGGGCTTAACATAAATATGTGTATGCCTGCATTAATCCTATTAAATATCTAAGTAGTACATTATAAATTTTGAGATTGAACACCATAAATACTTAAGCCAAGATATAGCAATTTTCATAACCTTAGATTTCTAAATCTTTGTTTGTTTGTTTGTTTATTTTTGAGAGTTTCTCTGTATAACCGGCCTGGCTGTCCAGGAACTCACATTGTAGATCAGGCTGGTCTCAAACTCATAGAGATCCACTTGCCTTTGCCTCTAGAGTGCTGGGATTAAAAGCGTGTGTCACCATGCCCGGCAGATTTCTAAATCTTAACCCAGGGTGGGGGTGGGTTATGTCAATACCATGGCCTGTCAAAGTTCTGGAAGACTGTGACAACCTCTGACGTGGAACTTCTCTAGTATAATAGTGGGCCAGTGTCTGCAGAACATGCACTCACAAACAGGGACTACAGAAAGCATTCTATAAAATTATCATTATTTTTTTTTTTTTGGTTTTTCAAGACAGGTTTTCTCTGTGGTTTTGGAGCCTGTCCTGGAACTAGCTCTTGTAGACCAGGCTGGTCTCAAACTCACAGAGATCTGCCTGCCTCTGCCTCCGGAGTGCTGGGATTAAAGGCGTGCGCCACCACCGCCCGACTCATTCTATAAAATTCTATAACATTCTATAGACACATTCCTCTCCACTATTAAGAATTGTGGGAGGTGGCTGGACAGATGGCTCAGTGGTAAAAGGATAGGCTCACAACCAAAGGGACAAGAACTGTGGGTAAAAGCTGGACAGATGGCTCAGTGGTTAAGAGCATTTACTACTCTTTTGTTGCAGCCCTGGCTATCCTGGCTCTTGCTATGCAGACGAGGATGGCCTCGAACACAGAGATCCTCCTGTTCCTGCCTTTGCTTCCCAAGTGTTGGGATTAAAAGTGAGCAGCATCACACCTGGCTACACTTCCTGCTCTTTGCAGAGATCCCAGCACACACATGGTGGCTCACACCAGTATGACACCTCCTCTGACATCTGCAGGCTCCTGCATGTGTGGTGCACACATACATACAAAATACATTTTTTTTAGATTAAAAAAATTGTGGGTGAGAGAATAAGGATACAGTGGGCAATGGGAGTGGGAGGGGGGTAACAGGGCTGAGTCAGTAGGTATGGTGCTCACCCTGTCAGAATGAAGGTCTCAGTTCAGACTCCTCATTCACTTAGAAAACAGGCACACGGAAGAAACAAAACTGAGAATGTACTGCCAATGTTATTTAGAATGTTGGACACAAATGAAAGCTGGGGACTTTCCCTGGGAAGGAGGAGAGTTCGACCACATTAGGCATTCTGCATGTACCACAGAACTGTCCCACGTGACCTAACCTGCATCTTCCAACATTTCCAGAAAACCCAACTGGATGTGTCACAGCAGAAGGGAATTCCAGCACTGGAGATGACTGTGCAACAGAGAGCAGAGCAAAGAGGAGCCACAGTGAGAGGCAGGAGATGCCCAGTGCTGCAGCCAGGAACACAGAAAAGTGGACACTGAGTGTAGAAGATTCCAGATGGCTTATTAAGGAAGTAGGAATGGAAATGATTTCTCTCTTTCTTTCTTTCGTTGTTTTTTTTGAGTTAGGGTTTTTCTGTGGAACAGTCCTGGCTGCCCTGGAACTTTCTCTGTAGACCAGGCTGGCCTTGAACTCACAGAGATCTGCCTGCCTCTGCCTCTCAAGTGCTGGGATTAAAGGTGTGCCCCACACCGTCCAGTGGAAACAAATCTTAAAGGCATATACCTAACCAATACCCAGCTAAATTTCAATGCTGAGATCTTTGTGATCTCCACTTCTCACCATGGCTGTGGATACTTTGTTACTTGACATCAGAACCAATTGCGGCCCAAGCAGTGAGACTCTCTTACCTGCCTTTGTAATTATTCACATCAAAGATCTTCTTTGCGCGGTAGTACACAAGCTTCCAGGGCCGAGCGATACCTTTCCCTGCAGACAGTCAGGAGACAGAGTCAGAGAGGCAGCAGGTGGCCAATGTGAGACATACATGGTCACAGACGCCAAAGTAACCCAGTGGAGCCTTCTGTAACACATTAACTCATGTGCAGCAGTGTGCAGAGGCCGGCTCTTCACACGCCTGCACTGTTAGAGCAGATGAACACATGTACAGTCAACACTGCCTTGAGCGTGGTGCACACTGGGTTCAAGGACCCACTCAGACCCTCACTGGATTGCCATTTCAGCAAGATTGTAGGTAAGCACAGGAGAGGAACAGGCCTCTCCCCAGCAAAGCCTTCTCCATTTCCCATTCTCCAGGGACCACCATCCCACGTCCCTGTGCAGCCCAGGAAACACCTATGGAATTATCATCTTCACACTCATAAAAGGTTCTTTCACGAGTGACCTGATGCCACTTACGCGTCATTTTTTTCTTTAATGTAGTTTTTGCCGGACATGGTGGTGCATGCCTTTAGTCCCAGCGCTTGGGAGGCAGAGGCAGGTGGATCTCTGAGTTCAAGGCCAGCCTGGTCTACAGAGTGAGTTCCAGGGCAGCCAGGGATACACAGAAAAACCCTGTCTTGAAAAGATGAAAAAATAAATAAATAAATATTTTAAATTAAAACAAGTATTTTAAATTAATGCGTTGAGAATAGCATACAATGTATTCTGATCATATTCACCCCAACTCCTTCTCCTAAGTCCTCCAGGATCTGCCTCCTCTTCTCTACCCTCCCCAACTTTGTGTCTTCTTCGTTTTTTTTTTAAATATTTATTTTATTTATTTATTATGTATACAATATTCTGTCTGTGTGTATGCCTGCAGGCCAGAAGAGGGCACCAGACCTCTTTACAGATGGTTGTGAGCCACCATGTGGTTGCTGGGAATTGAACTCAGGACCTTTGGAAGAGCAGGCATGCTCTTAACCACTGAGCCATCTCTCCAGCTCCTCTTCTTCGTTTTTAACAACCCTGTGCCCAATCTGTGCCATCCATGAACTTCTGGGGCCGGTCTCAGAGGGCTCACTGACCTCCTAACTTTCTCCGCGGGAGTCTAGCTCAAAGCGCTGCCCTTAGAAGACCATGGTGCACGGAAGGAATGATAAACAGGACAAGAAACTGAAGTCATAATTACTGCCAAGTAGACAAAGACAGAAGATCATTTCACTTTTCCACAGGCGCAATACTCTTGAGATACAAACCCATGGGATTCAGAGTAAGTACTCCTCAGCACAGGGGGCTGAGGGAGGTGTAGGAAGGCTGATGGCGCTTGAGTCCACTTCTCCACTTACCAATGTGCAGCCTGAATGCATGCTTTCGTTTTAAATTGGTGATCAGAGACTTCTCCTCTGGATATCTGTCTGTGTACAGCAGCTTGTCTGCACTCTCAATTCCAGTCAGGGACAGGAATTCTTGCACGTTTTTCTCTATTTGTTTATTTTCTTTAGCAGAAAATTTGCCAAATCTAATAGCAACACCTAGGGTTGAGGGGGGAGGAGAGAAAGTATGTATGTATTGTCAATAATGAATAAAAGCAAACTTACCACACTCATTTCTTTTCTGTGGTCTGGTACGTGCAGCTGTTGATCCTCAAATCCACTTTTTTTTTTTTTTTTTTTTTTTTAGTGATAGGCTCTCCTGTTGACTAAGTAGGCCAGGCTGGCCAACCAGCAAGCCCCAAAGATCTTTCTGTCTCTGCCTCCCTGTGTTAGGGTTACAAACACATGCCACCATGGTCAGCTCTTCTACATGGATTCTGGAAGCTGAACTCAGGTCCTCATGTTTGTGCAACAAGCACTTTATTGACCAACTCCCGAGCCCAAAAGGAAACCTACCAAACTCAGAATACCAGGTCTAGCAGGACCAGCCTGCCAGGAGCAGTCGAGCCCACTGGGATCTTTGGCACTGAGTGGCTCCCCATCCTCAATTCTAGTCTAAGCTATGGTTCCTCTCCCCAGGTCTTCTCAGACATCCTCTTCCACAGTGACTTGTTTCCTCAATCTCTTTAAAATAGTTACATTAAAAGCAACAGACGTTGATAATAAATCCACTCAATATTGAAGAAGAATCTAGAAGAAGCCTTCCCCCACCCCATGTCACTGAACTTCCTGAAAGTGGTGTTCACAGGGGCTAACTAACAAAAGCCTGCTGAACAAACATAAGCTTTCTCTACGTGCAAACCAGGGTCAGGATTGACAAAACATAGTAGTTTTGAAAGAACTCCTGATCCTTGTTCAATCATTAAGGATCAATTGTGTGACTAGCGCATTGTTCTTTCTTTTGGCAGAGCTGGAGACTCAGTTTACTTGTCTGGCTTTAGATGTTTTGTTTTATTGTGACAGGGTATCATGTAGCTCAGTCAAGCCTCAAACTCCCTACGTAGCTACGAATGGGCTTGAACTTCTGATTCTCATGCCTTCACTTCCTGAGAGTTGGGATTACAGACAAGCACCAGCACACTCAATTTATGGGGGTGCTAGGAATCAAACCTAGTGTTGGGTGCATGCTTGGCAAACACTACAGACTGAGCCATAGCTTCAGCCCTGGTTTTCAGTTTATTATACATACAAACATTCATGCAACAAAATTAAAAAAATAACTCAGTAATTTAGACGTAGAGCCAGGCATGGTGATTCACACCTGGTAAATCTAGCACTTGGGAAGCTGAGGCAGGAGGATTGAGAGTCTGAGCTCAGCCTGCTTTACCTCATGATTCAACTCAGAATACAGCAAAGGGAGCTGGTGTGGGATAACCCCTCTGTAGGCTGTGATTATGTTTTATTACCACTGCTTAATAAAGAAGCTGATTTGGCCAATAGCCAGGCAGAATAGAACCAGGTGGAAAATCCAACCAGATAAGGGAGAAGGGTAGAGTCAGGGAGATACCAGCATCTGCCCAAGGGCAAGATGCCAGAGCACCACCAGTAAGCCATGGGCCACGTGGCAATATACAGATTAACAGAAATGGGTTAATTTAAATGTACAAGCTAGCTAGTAATAAGCCTTGCAGTGATTATTTTAAGAATGGCTGCAGGACCAGGGAGGGCAGTAAAGCCTCCGTTCACAGGGGGCCAGAAGACACTGCTCTTTAAACTGTGTCCACATGAGGCTCTTGGGGGATGTGCTTAACCTGTTTGTTTCTACTCTCTTCAACCTCCTTGGCTCCCAAAGTCAGAGCCCCTCAATGTACAGCGCATACTTGTGTAAAAGAGTCCTTATGCCACACATGATCATGCATGATAAATACATACAATGAAGAAACATTCTAAAAGGTGACTTTTAACATTCCCCAGTAACTAATGCTCAGTTGTGGCACATCTCAGATCTATACCCCCACCTCCCACCCAAGATAGGGTTTCTCTGTATAACAGCCATGGCTGTCCTAGAACTCACTCTGTAGAGTAGGCTGGTCTTAAACTCACAGAGATCTGCCTGCCTCTACCTCCAAGTGCTAGAATTAAAGATGTGTGCCACTATCATCCAGCAGCTTCTTAGATCTTCTTAAAGGATGCTTCCCCTGGGCCCATCAATCCAAGTCACTCACAAAAGCAGCTGTTGCCTGCTCTGGACATTGAAAAGTTTACCTTGTGCCTTAAATTCCTTGAATCGTCCCAGGTCATCCCGATACATGCGTCTGATTGTGGTGGCTGCCCTTTCCTGTATGTCAGGAATGAACTCTTGGAGCTGCTTCACTGCAGAGCCCAAATCCACATCCGATTCGTCAGAGTCTCTCCCATCTTCAGATACATATCTTGTTGCGGAATTGCTGACTGATTCCAAATTGCTTTCTTCTTCAGGGGTGGATTCTAACCTAAGGGGGAGACCGGTAACTAACAGTCATCTCTTCAGCTAACACCTTTCCGGCTCTTTCTGAATGCTCTCAGTCGAAGAGTAAAGTTGGACTGTACCTCGGAGCCATTCAGTCCCTAGCTTCAAATGCTATGCAGCCTGACGACATCAGATGGGTACATGCGAGCAGAAATTTATGTGCTATGTCTCACCGGTGGTTCCTGTGGCACAGGCTAGAGGCCTCATTTCTTCTTTAGTTTTTTTTTTTTTTGAGTCAGGGTTTCTCTGTAGCTTTGGAGCCTGTCCTGTAGACCAGGTTGGCCTTGAATTCACAGAGATCTGCCTGCATCTGCCTCCCAAGTGCTGGGATTAAATGTGTGCGCCACTACGGCCCGGCCCGGCTCTTCCTTAGTTTTTTATGTATCCAGCGCAACTGTTTTCGCCAGTTCTTTACCAGATGTCAGAATCTGTCTGCTCTTAGTATGTTCAGGCATCAGTGAGTCTGTCGGACTAAAAACTAAACCATCTTGCCCACCTGTTAGCAAGTTAGTGTTTTCATATGGCCTGTGGCTCAAGGAAAGCCAGCATATTCCCGCCTCATAACCAATGCTCTGACAAGGTAGGTCCTCAGTAGACAATACAAGGACAATGTGAATGACCCACTGCTGTGATCACTGCCATCCCATGTGGCGTTTAACAGCACTCCATTTATCACTCATGTGAGACTATTCTAAGTCAGACTCTATTTTACCTAATGCTGAAGCAAACACAAAGTTATGGAGTGAAAGTGAGAAGAGAGGATCTGTCCCAGTCCAGGATCTGAGAGTGGGAAAGCCTCCTGCCATCAGCTCACTAAACAGTATACTCGCATAGCATTAGATAAGTAACGCTAGTTTTGCACAATCCTCAGTAAAATATACACCAGTACACGCTCCCAGACAAGCTGAGTTGCTGGGAAGTCTTAAAATGACTCAATCTTATAGCAGTAGGTAAAAAGAGGGCTCCGTGAAAATCTAATTTAACTACCTTCTTTTACACATGAAGAGATTCAGCTATCTGCTGAGACGGCTCAATTATATGTGCACATTATGATTTCTGTCATTTCCTAGGCTCACAGAAGACACGCACCATTCCCAGCTTACCTCTGCATCTCTTCTGCATGCTTCTCGCTGGAACAAGCCTGGGTTCCTGCCTCCCTTGGTCTGTGGTCCACATCCTCTTCCCTCAAAGCATTGCTGCCTTCCAATGAATCCACGAGGGCATTCTCAGCACTGTTGTCAGGCAGTGAGACACTGTCACCAGAGGCGGCAATAGGAACAGATGCACACTTCCTTTTCTTAGACTTTTTCCTGATACTGTGGGATCCTTTGATCCTCTCACCTCCTTCTCCAGTCCCAGCCTCTCCTCCAGGGTGTGTGCTACCAACACTCTCAGGCATGACCTCCAATTCCTGGTTCTTGAACACTTTTTCCTCAGACTTTTTACAAGACACTGCTAGTTCTGTGCTTTTGCCTTCTAGATTCACAGAAGATAAGGATTCTGAGTGGGGCAAGATGATGTTCTCATGCTGGCTTTCCCGTACAGCATCCCTGGATACAACTTTCTTCAAATGCTTTTGATTCTTTTTGCTCCTAACATCAGTGTGCAGCTCTTGACAGTCATGTTTCTGGGACTCAGCAACAGACAGCTCCTCTGCTTTGTCTGCTTCTGCTGACTTTTGTCCCTTGCTCACATCTACATAAACAATATCCACATCTTTTCTAGAACTCTCCAGCAGGTTCTCTATGTTTTCTTTATTTACAAGAATGATCCCTGTTTCCACATCCACCTCCCACACACTACTTCTCTTTTTTTTATGGGTAGAAATGGTCTTTTTGGCTTTATGGAAGGTTTCTGAATTTTTCAGAAGGGAAGAAGTAAGTTGTTGGAACTCCCTCCCCTTCTTCCTCTTGGCTATGTGAGGACGCTCACTCTCCAGGCTCTCAGGGGCTGGTGTCTGGGACTCCCTCCTTTTTTTCCTCTTGGCTATGTGAGGATGCTCACTCTCCAAGCTCTCAGGGGCTGGTGTCTGGGACTCCTTCCTCTTCCCTTGCTTGGACACCCGAGGACGCTCATTCTCCAGGATCTCAGGAGCTAGAGTCTGGGACTCCCTCCTCCTCTTCCCCGGCTTGGATACCCGAGGATGCTCACTCTCTAAGCTCTCAGGAGCTGGAGTCTGGGACTCCTTTTTCCTCTTCTTCCCTGGCTTGGACACCCGAGGATGCTCACTCTCCAAGTTCTCAGGAGCTGGAGTCTGGGATTCCTTCTTCCTCTTCTTCCCTGGCTTGGACACCAGAGGATGCTCACTCTCCAGGGTCTCAGGGGCTGGAATCTGGGACTCCTTCCTCCTCTTCTTCCCTGGCTTGGACACCGGAGGATGCTCACTCTCCAGGGTCTCGGGGGCTGGAATCTGGGACTCCTTCCTCCTCTTCTTCCCTGGCTTGGACACCGGAGGATGCTCACTCTCCAGGGTCTCAGGGGTTCTTATTTGGGGTCTTTCCTCGGACACAGAAGACCGTTTCTTTTTCTTGTAAAAAACTGCCCTGTGGATTTTAAATCTGCTTGAGTCTTCTTCCATCCTATTCCTTTAGAAAAACATGACAATGGTTTATTTTGGCCTTTTAAACATAAGTCTGAGGGCAGGAGTGACAGCACAAACGAAACTGTATGACAAATGACAAGTCTGCAGTCATGAGTATAAATTTTGTACTATTCAAAATATGGGAAGTTCACTGTAATCCACATCGCCTGGCCCCACTGCCTTTATGATACATTCACACACACACACACACACACACACACACACACACCCCTCCCAATTCACAGGAAATAACACTGTCCTGCACATTCTGGACCACATGCCACTCAGACTCATCTTCTGTGACAGGTACTTGCTGCAGTTCTCCCCACATGCCCGAGTCCTTCCCTGGCTCTCTCTGGGATCTCTGCTGCCTCCCACTCTCCTTGCTGCTCCCTTGCCTGCCCGTGAGCTTGGCTAGAAGACTGCTTTGCTTTACTCTGAGACAAGGTCTTGCTGTGTTGCCCAGGCTGGCCCTTAACACTTGCTACCCTCATTTCAATCTCTTCAGTCCTAGGACTACAGCTGGAACTGGAAGCTGACTTCTTTAAGAGAGCCTTCTCTTACATCAAGTTGGTTCTGACCAGGAAGCCTCCTCTCTACTGCCTAGCTCTCATAGTACCAGAAGTGCTATGTGATTGCTGGGTGGAAAATCATCTCAACCTTACTCACTGGGAGCCCTGTGAACTACAATGGCAAGGGCAAGTTGTGCCTATGGGTGCAACAGTGGCTTGAATGTTTTAGGGTAGCAAACTGCTTTCTAAAACTAAAGCCTTGATCCAACATGTGGGGTACTGCAAATCTGTCAAGGAGTCCAAGTTTAGTTAGACAGGGTGAATCTACTGTTTTTTTTTTTTTTTTTTTTCCAGCTTTTCTGTGTAGCCCTGGCTGTCCTGGAACTCAAAGAGATCCACCTGCTTCTACCTCCTTAGTACTGGGATTAAAGGTGTGCACTACCACCACCTGGCATCAAGTCAACCACTATTATTCTGCTAAATGGACATAGCATCAATCTGCCTCTACCTTTGTCCTTCTCTACCCATAGATTAATAATTAATATATCTCTCAGACCTCATCAGAGAGGTGGGTTTTTTTTTTGGGGGGGGGGTTGCTGTAGACAGTAGTTAATGCAGAAACTCACAACTGGTCAAAGTACAGAGAATAAAGCTGGGTAGTAGTGGTGCACACCTTTGATGCTAGCACTCAGGAGGCAGGGACAGGTGGATCTCTCTGAGTTCCAGGCCAATACAGCCTAGCCTACAGAGTTTCAGGTCATCCAGAGCTATACAGAGAAACCCTGTCTCAAAAAGCAAAACAAAGCAAGCAGCAGAAAGTGCAGAGAACAAATGTTAACGGAATAATGAATGGGACATCTGTGTGCCTCGCTCGCCTTCCAAAGCTTGGGGACCAGATCCTGAGCACCCAGACTGGGAGAACTGGAGCAGAGCAGCGTCTTCCGGACATGACAGAACCCCTGCATTCACAACTCATAATTCATAGCAGCCGTGTGTAGCTAACACATGATCAAGCCAGTTCAAATGCCGAGGGGGAGGGGCTGATGAGCTCCCTCTCCTGAGGTGACACAGATTTTTGGGGAAGGGAGAGGCAGTTTTCTCTAAGGGTATGTGGTCCCTAGTACTGACATGGCTCTAGAGGATGGCCCCACACCCAGAGTATATGGCAGCCATAAACTTGACTGGATGGGTTATTTTTAAAAAGAAAACAAAGAGGACATGAAAAGGGGGAGGGGGGTCGAGAAGTGGGATCATCCAAGAACTAGATTAAACTGAATTTCTCAAAGAATTACAAAATTCGGGCTGGAGAGATGGCTCAGTGGTTAAGAGCATTGCCTACTCTTCCAAAGGTCCTGAGTTCAGTTCCCGGCAACCACATGGTGGCTCACAACCATCTGTAATGAGATCTGGTGCCCTCTTCTGGCCTGCAGACATACACACAGACAGAATATTGTATGTATAATAAATAAATATTTAAAAAAAAATTACAAAATTCTCAAAGAAGTATTATATTTAAGGCCAGGAGGTGGTAGTACACACTTTTAATCCCAGCACTCAGGAGGCAGTCGCAGGTGGATTTCTGTGAGTTCAAGGCCAGCGTGAGGATAGTGTGAGGATAGTCAGGGCCATAGAGAGAAACCTGGTCTTGAAAAACAAAACAAAACAAAAAACAAAAAAAGCTTCCTTCCCTCCTTCTTTCCAATCTGTGCTTCTTTTGTAGCATTTGTAATTCAAAAAATTAACAATAAGTCACTCAGTCATTAAACATCTATCCTACTATCACACACAGATCACACAAAGGAAGCCAGCTTGCATGTGTTGCTCCTGCTATTGCCACTACCGGGGAGCCATGACCCAGCCTTTCATTAGAGTGAAGTGAGCTTCATGCTGGCATCACTAAGCACCCACAGACCTCATACTGGCCTTTGACAAAGAGGGCAGATGTGCTTGTTAGTGACCAGCAAAACAAGAGAACTCCACAGTGGAGAAGGGTGAACTTTCACAATACAGGGGTATGAAGTTTGGATAGATATACTGGCGGGGCAGGTATGCAGTTCAGCTGGTAAAGTGCTTGCCTAGCACACACCAAGTCCTGGGGTCAATCCCTAGCATCTCATAAATCTGCTGTAGTTGCACACACATGTAACCTAGCGCTGAAAAGTGGAGGCAGGAGGATCACAAGTTCAAGGTCCTTCTCAGCTACATAGTAAGTTTGAGACCAGTCAGGGATACTGGGACCCCACTTTAGACCCTCCTCTCTACTGCATAAAGAGTTACATACACAGCTGGAGCGATGGCTCAGCAATTAAGAGCATTGGCTGCTCTTCCAAAGGTCCTGAGTTCAAGTCCCAGCAACCACATGGTGGCTCACAACCATCTGTAATGAGATCTGGTGCCCTCTTCTGGCACACAGGCGTATATGCAGGCAGAACATTGTATACATAATAAATAAATACATCTTTATAAAAAAAAAAAAGAGCACTGGTTGCTCTTCTAGAGGACCCAGGTTCAATTCCCAGCACCCACACGACAGTTTACAAGTGTCTTTAACTCCAGTTCCAGGGGAGGATCTGACACCCTTTTATCAATGCACATAAAATAAAGTTAATTTTTAAAAAAGCAAAAAAAAATTACATGCAAACATTTCATATTCTTCTCCTTCTGAATTGCTTCTGGGTTCAACTATAATTTATCTTTGATGACTAGGCAATATACTTACATGATCTATTTTGAGACAGGGTCTCTCTCCATGGCCTTGACTGCCCTGAACTCACTCTGTACACCAGGTACTATGTGCTCTTACTTCTTCCCATTGTCTTCATTTCTGACCTGTAGCTTCTGATTTTACTAGCACACTCTGGATTTCTCTCTCTGTAGAGTGTGTCATTTCCCACCCCATACCCCAAAGTGTTTCTCTCGCAGCCCTGGCTGTCCCGGAACTCTGTAGACCAGGCTGACCTTGAACTCACAGAGATCCTCCTCATTTTGCCTCCCAAGTGCCGGGCCGGGATTAAAGGCGAGTGCCTCCACTGCCTGCAGGGTTTTAATCAACCTGGATGCTAGGCACACATTTATCCTGGGTAGTAAACGGCAGTTGTAAGGACCAGCCAGGTTTTGGAGGGAAGGGGCCATGAAAGAACAGTTGAATTCTCACCTGCAAGGCAGGTCTTTCAGGTCCATGTGGCCATGAGAGCTCTGCTTTAGACCTTTCTCCCCGATGTCACCCACTGACACACAGTAGGAACAGTCTAGCAGACAGTCTTACATGATCACTGTAGCCTCAGCACGTCGCGTATTATCAGGTTTTGCACAGTAATTTTTATTTTTTGGCATGAGTTAATGCTTTCTTTTTGGCTGTCCTAGTGCTACGGAGAAGTAGGAAACGGGCTATGTTCTAATCACAGGCCGCCAGTCTGCTGCTGGGACCTGACCACTATCCGGGAGCAATTCTAGCTCTAGGCTGTACCCTATGATAGTGGATGGTCACGTGAGCATCTGCAATGGGGTAGGGCCAAACAGTAAAACCAAAACAGATGTGGCAAACACTAATCACTAAGCAACACCGCCTGTGCTCCCCTGGTTCCTACCCTGCCAGGAGTCACCTTTAGCAGCCAATTTCCCTATTTCACTCCACACCCATCTTGTTACAGCATATTTAGTTACTGTTCGTTTGGGTTTTGTGGCTGTAAGAGTTCTTTCTCGGCCCCAGACGAATTTCTGCCATGGGCTGAGGCCCCTTCAGTAACAATTACTGCCACCCTTCTTGAACCTTGCTTTTAATGAGAGAGAGAGAGAGAGAGAGAGAGAGTAAGAGAAGAGAGAGAGAGTGATTGTATTTTGTGTGCATGAGTGTTTTGCCTGCTTGTATGTATGTCCACCGAGTGCCTGCTGGGTGCTCGTGGGACCAAGGAGATGGGTTGTAGCGCCCACAACCCATGGTGGAGAAAAAAAGAGAGCTGGCTAAATGAAAAACACACATCGGATTGTGTGTAAAAAGCACATACGGCAGGGGGATGCTTGAAGGCAGAGCCAACTGTTGCAGGCCGGGTAAGTGGTCTTGGGAACTGAATTTACAGATGGCTATGACCCACGATGTAGATCTTGATGCTCGGCGACCGGCCTCAGTGTGCAGGCCATTTTATCAAGGTGCCTTCACTGACTCCTAGCCGGGTGCCACGTTCCCTACTGCACACAGACTTCCCCAACGGTCGGGCACCTTCCCGAGGCGAACTGTCTACAGCCGAGACGTGCTCCGTCTCATCTAACCAGCGGAAATGGACCGACCTCCACTTCCGGCCCCACGCGCCCTACCCTCACCACCCGTGGGCTGGAACTGATCCTGCTCTGCCCCTGGGCGGCGACCCGAGGAACAGACTGGAAAGACCCCTCCGGCCGCGGCCTGGGTCTCGGGGCAACCCCCGGCGGCGAGGACCGGGCAGATCAGCCTCAGGCCGCCGCCTCGCACAAGACTAGCGCCGCCCGCCCCCGCCACACTCGCGAACCAGAAGCTCTAACAACGAAAGGTCGTCCAACCTACCTCGTGATACTGTAGCCACTCGTCTTCCAACCCGGAAGTGTTGTGGAGACGGAAGTACTGTACTGACTTCCGGCCCGCTCCGCATCCGGCTGCCATAGTAACATGGCGGCACGCAAGGATTGGACGCATGCGTAGTTGCTTGTCTATGTCCTGACCGGGGAAAGAGTTAAAAGCGTGCCCCTCTAACTAAGCAGGCCAGAAGCAGAGGCAGGTATAAGTGAGTTCGAAGCAAGCCTGATCTAAATAGCGAGTTTGAGGCCAGAGTACGTAGTAAGACCCTGTCTCAAAATACAAACAACAACAAAACCAACTAAACAAAACCCCTGAAAAACAGCAAATTGTGTGTGTGGGGGGAGCCACAAAATTTAGGGGAAAAATAAAAAAAACCTCAAAAAACCAAATAAATAAATAAATAAATAATAAAATATAAAGCCCAGCACCAAGCAGTGGTGGTGTGAGCCTTTAATCCCATTATTTGAGAGGCGGAAACAGGCCTATTCTGTAAATTCAAGCCCAGCCTGGTCTACAGAGCGAGTTCCAGGAAGGCTCCAAAGCTACAGAGAAAACTTGTCTTGAAAAACCATTAAAAAAAAAAAATCCGGCCACTGGTGGCACATGCTTTTAATCCCAGCACTCAGGAGGCAGAGGAGACAGGTTTGCTCAAGGCCAGCTTGGTCTACAGACCTACAGAATTAATTCTAGGATAGCTAAGATTACACAAAGAAACCTTGTCTTAAAATACAAAAACAAAAGGAAAGAAAAGCAAATCTTTAATTGAGCCATCAAATCAGGGCTATCGTCTCTATCAACTTTTTGTGTGGCTAATATAAAATGTGAAAAGTCTTCTCTGTTTTTGTTTGTCCGTTTGAGATGGTCTACTGTGGCCCAGAGTGACTTCAAACTGTATACTGATGCTGACCTTGAATTTCTCATTTCCCCTACCTCCACCTACAGTGCTGGAGTAACAAGCACCAGCATACCAGATTTGATATAGTGCTGGGGGCTGATCTCGGGGCCAGGTGCATGCTGAAGGAGCACCTTACCAACTGAGCTACATACCAGCCTAAAAGCTATGAGGCTGTAAGTTTTCTCATTCTCTCTCTCTCTCTCTCTCTCTCTCTCTCTCTCTCTGTCTCTGTCTCTCATTTTGTTGAAACAGGGTTTCTCTGTATAAATAGCTCTGGCTGGTCTTGAACTCACAGAGATCTGCTTGCCTCTGCCTCCTGGAGTGCTGACATTAAAGGTGTGTGCCGCCTCCACCAGTTTCTGTTCCACCAGGTCCCACATCCGTTTAGTCCCCAATAAACACACAGAGGCCTACATTAATTATAAACTGATTGGCCCAGGAGCTCAGGCTTCTTATTAACTCTTACATTAGCCCATAATTCTTGTCTGTGTTCGCCACATAGTTTGGTACTTTTTTGGGCAAGGCAGTCACATCTTGCTTGCCTGTGCCTGGTTTCCTTTTCATCTGGGTGACTGCAGACTGAAGCTTCCCTCTTCCCAGAATTCCCAGAATTCTCATTGCCCCACCTCTACTTCCTGCCTGGTTACCCCACCTGCACTTCATGCCTGACTAATGGCCAATCAGCATTTATTTAAAATACAAGTGACAGGGTACAGAACATTGTCCCATAGCACACCACCACCTGGCTCTCATTTACTCTTTTTTTTTTTTTTTTTTTTTGGTTTTTCGAGACAGGGTTTCTCTGTGGTTTTGGAGCCTGTCCTGGAACTAGCTCTTGTAGACCAGGCTGGTCTCGAACTCACAGAGATCCGCCTGCCTCTGCCTCCCGAGTGCTGGGATTAAAGGCGTGCGCCACCACCGCCCGGCTTCTCATTTACTCTTAAACAACCCCATGTTGTAGGTATCATTATTAGGCAATATAGTGTCAGTCCCATCCTGTAATGAGAAAACTGAGCTTTTGGCGACTTGACAAGATAGGGCCCAGGGTTCCAACCCATGCTTTTCCCCTCTACTTTGCTCTTCTGCCTTTCTCTAAACTGCTGTGACTTCCTCTGTGTGAGTGTCTAAGCACCTTTGATTAAAAGGGGCCAGGGAGATGGTTTAGTGGTTAAGAGCACTTACTGCTTTTCCAGAGGACCCACGTTCATTTCCCAGTCCCTGCTTGGTGGCTTACAGCTGTCCTTAACTCCAGTTTCAGAGAACTCAATGCCCTCTTCTGACCTCCTTAGGCACCATGCATGCCCATGGTGCACACACATACCACATGCAGGCAAACCATCCATATACATTAAAAAAATAAATCTTAGCTAGGTGGTGGTGGCACGTGCCTTTAATCCCAGCACTCGGGAGGCAGAGGCAGGCGGATCTCTGTGAGTTCGAGGCTAGCCTGGTCTACAAGAGCTAGTTCCAGGACAGGCACCAAAGCTACAGAAAAACTTGTCTCAAAAAAACCCAAAATAAATAAATAAAAATAAATAAAAATAAAAAAAACTTTAAAAAGTGCACAATATGCCAGGTGTAGTAATAAATGCTTGTAATTCCAGCACTTGTAAGACTGAGGCAGGAGAATGACAGGTTTGGGTTACATAGTGAAGCAGTCTGGATAAACTAAGTACACACACCATGTCTTTGTCAAACCTTGCCTAAGTATCTGGATGTCTGTTTTTTCTGCCTGAAGCCTTGAAGTTCAGATTGTGATGGAGGAAGGTCATTGGTTAAATAAACTGCCTTGGCCCTAATAGGACAGAAAATTAGGTAGGCAGAGTAAACAGAACAGAATGCTGGGAGGAAGAGGAAGTGAGCTCAGACGCCATGCTCCCCTCTCCCGGGCAGACGTGATGAAGCTCTGACCCAGGATGGACGTAGGTTAGAATCTTCCCGGTAAGTGCACCTTGGGGTGCTACACACATTATTAGAAATGGGCTAGTCCAGATGCGAGAGTTAGCCGAGAAGAGGCTAGATATAATGGGCCAAGCAGTGTTTAAAAGAATACAATTTGTGTGTTATTATTTCAGGGCATAAGCTAGCCAGGCGGCTGGGAGCTAGCGGTAGGAACACAGCCTGCAGCTCCTTCTACAAGATTGGTTGCCAGTGCAGCTTGCTCCATGGTGAACTCAGGGCCTTGTGAAAGTAGATATTTTCACATTTTCACCTTTAATGAAGATGCTGAGCGTGGACCAATGAACTCACAAAAGACTCATACTGGCAGGGAGCTTAGATTTCAGGTCCCAAATCACCCAGGAAGCTGGAGATGGACACAGAGCTGGAGAGGTGGCTTCTTGGTTAAGCCCACTTGTTGCCCTTGCTGAGAACCTAGCACCCATGTGGTAGCCTATAAGCATTCGTAACTCCAGTCCCAGGGCAGCCAACCTCTTCTGACTTCTGCAGGCATCAAGCATGGAGTGGTGTACAAACACATATGCAGGCAAAACACTCATACACATAAATACATTTTAAAAGCAGTTTTTATAAAGGAGCTGTGAATATGCTAAGCGTCATTACAATTGCCTTTAATTCCAACAACCAGGCACCAGAGGCAAGTGGAGTTCCAGGCCAGGCTGGCCTACACTGTGAGTTCCAGGTCAGCCAGGGCTACATAGTGATACCATCTGTGTTAGTCAGTATTCTCTAGAGTCATAGAACTTTGTCTCTCTCTCTCTCTCTCTCTCTCTCTCTCTCTCTCTCGTGTGTCCATATATGTGTAGAGGAATTTGTTGTGATGATTTACAGGCTGCAGTCCAACAATGGTTAGTTGTGAATGAGAAGTCCAAGAATCTAGTAGGTGTTCAACCCCACAAGGTTGGGTGGCTCAGCTGGTCTCCTGTCTATGCTGGAATCCCGAAGCAGGCTCCAATGCCAGTGAAGGAATGGATGTGTTGACAAGGAGAGGGCAAACAGGAGAAGAGCAAGCCCTCCCTTCTTCACCGTCCTTACTCAGGCTTCCAGCAGGTGTGGCCCCAGTTAAAGGCGCGTCTTCCCACCTCAAGGTCTAGATTAAAGGCCTGTGTGTTCTCATCTCAAGATCCAGATCGCAAGTGTGCCCTCCACTTCTGGATCGTAGTTGACAACCAAGAACAGCCACCACACCCTCTCATCATCAGTAGACGTGATGAGCACAGGATCCTGCACGAAAGTGCCCTTGACAATCAATGGTTCTGGGGGCGGGGGATGCTCTAAGCCTTACTGTACAGACACAGGTTCTTAATCAAACCCCGCCTGTGCTCAGGCAAGCAACCTTAATTAAATTCAGTGGGGCATACATTAAGACATGAAAGTAGAAGAGGGTTTAGTTGGCGAAAAGAGGGGGTTCATCAAATGGAGAGAGGGACAAGAGTATAATAGGATCAAAGTATATTATATGTATGTATGAAACTGAAATAAGTCTTCAAACATACCCCCCCCCAAGAAAATGCCCTTGATACAGGATGAAGTCTTTAAGGTCTGCAATGGTTTGAATTAGAATAGCTACATCTATATGAACACTTGACTTCCAGTTGGTGGCACTGTTTGGGGAGGTCTAGGAGGTGTGGCCTTAGTGGAGGAGTAGGTCTCTGGGGTTTCAAAGCCTCCTGCCATTCCCAATGTGCTCTTGCCCTTTCTTCCTCTCTTCCTCTCCCCTTTTCCCTCTCTCTTCTTCTCCTTCTCTATTTCTCTCTCCCCCCTCTCCCTCTCTCTCCTTCTCTCTCCCTCTCTCTCCTTCTCTTTCCCTCTCTCTCCTCCTACTCCACCTCTCCTATATGATTGGGGTTCAGGATGTGAGGTCTCAGCAACTTCTTCCAGTCCCCATGCCAAGCTGCCACAATGGACCCTTATTCCTTTAGAGCCATAAGCACAAATAAACTCTTCTTTCTATAAGTCCCTTCTTGTCATGGTATTTTACCACACCAGTAGAAGTGGAACTAATACACAATATAGCACTGTTTGAGGTAGTTTCAAGCAACTCAGCAGTGTGTGTGTGCGTGTGTATGTTCATCTGCATGTATGTGAGCCTACTCAAACGAGTGGCAATGTACAAAGGCTTGTGACTCCAGGTGAGGGCCTCAGATTTTTATCGAGCTCATTGTATTCAATTAAAAATACATGGGTATGAGTGTTTCCCTTGTGTTTGTACATCATGTGTGTACTTGGTGCCTGAGGAGGCAAGAAGATGGCATCAGATCCCTTGAAACTGGAATTACTGAGTCTTTTGAGCCACTGAGTACTTGGAATCAAATCCAGGTCCTCGGCAGGAACAGCAAGTCCTTCTAACTGCTGAGCTATTTCTCCATCCCCCCCCCCCCCCAATTTTTAACTCTCTAGAAGGTTTGAATTTTTTTCAAGTCGGGTTTTCTCTGTGTATCTTTGCTGTCCTGGAACTCATTCTGTAGACCAGGCTGGCCTTGAACTCACAGAAATCTGCCTGCCTCTGCCTCCTGAGTGCTGGGATTAAAGACATGTGCCACCATGTCCAGCTTGGATTTTTTTTTTTAATGAAAAATTTCTGAAGTGAGAGGTAATATGAGTGTTGCCAAGATAAGACAGGATGGTCCTTCAGGGTTCCCGCTTCACAGAAGAAACTGCCAGACATTCTGCAGGACACAGAAGAAAGCAACTGACGAACTTTGCCAGTCCAAGGCAGAACAGATCTTCAAATTCCCTGCTTCACTGAAAAGTTCAGATGCTCTGGGTCTGTAGGCTGAAGATGGATGCCCCAATGTTACAGAAGAACTTTGGGTGACTGTCCAGGCAGTGGAATGTCTTTGTATATTCTACAGTTTTGGAATTTGCTTACAATGCACTTCCTGTTAACTTAGGTAATATTACATCCTTTTGGGGTCTATGATGGTGTTGAACACTAGATAGTTATAAGTATAGTTTTTCTTAATTATGATGAAGGATAAATTAGATATAGAGCTTTGGACTCACAAAGATAGACTAGATGATAAAGTATTTTCTTTAATTTTGCCAAATACAAATGGACTAAATATTGTTACTATGGTTCTTGCTTGATAACTGTTTTGTTTATATATATATGTATATAAATGTATATATATATAAACATACATACATACCTATATATACAAATTTACTATGTTAAAGTTAAAACCTTCCTTTTTGCCGGGCGGTGGTTGCACACGCCTTTAATCCCAGCACTCGGGAGGCAGAGGCAGGCCCCAGAGTAGTTATTTCATAAGAGGCTGTGGGGACCTGGTAGGTTGAAAGAAACTGGTCCATTGATGTTATACCCAAATCTGTGAAGTCCCCCAAAAGCCAACAAGGAGACCAAGTCCTGTATGTAAAAGCAAAGAACTCTGTGAGTTCGAGACCAGCCTGGTCTACAAGAGCTAGTTCCAGGACAGGCTCCAAAAACCACAGAGAAACCCTGTCTCGAAAAACAAAAACAAAACAAAACAAAACACCCAAAACCTTCCTTTTTAATTAGACAGAAAAGGGGAAATGATGTAGGATGTCCTCCTGCATTCTGTGACTATGTGTTTCTCTTATTGATTGATAAATAAAACTGTTTCGGCCAATGGCCAGGCAGAATATATCCTAGCTGGGAAAATGAAGCAAAGACAGGGAGAGAGAAGGCAGAGTTGGGGAGACGCCATGTAGCTGCAGGGTAGTGAGAAGCCAGGGCATCACAGGTAAATCACAACCACATGGTAATACATAGATTAATAGAAATAGGTTAATTTATAGATAGAGCTAGCCAATAAGAAGCCTGAGCCATCAGCCAAACAACTCTGATATTAAGCCCCAGAGTAGTTATTTCATAAGAGGCTGTGGGGACCTGGTAGGTTGAAAGAAACTGGTCCATTGATGTTATACCCAAATCTGTGAAGTCCCCCAAAAGCCAACAAGGAGACCAAGTCCTGTATGTAAAAGCAAAGAGCCTTTATTTTATGCAAGTTTGCAAACTTGGTCTCTCCACATGTCCAACGTATCAGAATAATAAACAGAGAGCCCCGAGCTCAGTTTGAGTTGGGTTTTTATAGTAGTAAAGGTGGAGGTGAGGGGTTTCTGAGGTTCAGGACCCCTGATTAGCTGACATTTGTCTAGAGGTGTCTTGGAGAGTGTGTGCTGGCAGGTGATCCTTTCTACAGCGTTGGAACACTAGGCATTTCCTTTGGATAGTCTATTCTTGGGTGGTGCTCAGGTAATCTTAGTTTATGGTTCTTTCTGCAACCAGGTATTGTTTTAGGGTAAACTACTGAGATTCAAGCCTTCGTTAAATTTATCAGTGGCTGAGTCCTACTCTGGCAGGTGATAATGGTTGGAAGTAAAGAACTTCCTTTGGGTGATCTGTTCATATTAAACTTGTCATGGCTGGCTTCCACAGTGGGACCAGAAGAACGGAGAAAAATCTTCATCTCCAAATTTCAGGTTCGAGGTTGGAGAGATGGCTCAGCAGTTAAGAGCACTGATTGCTCTTCCAGAGGTTCTGGGTTTAATTCTCAGTACCCATGTGGCAGCTCACAACTTTAACTCCAAGACCTGACACCATCATAGATACATGAAGGCAAAACACCAGTGCATATTAAACAAAATTTTAAAAAACCCACCCATTTAATTTTTTTCAGATTGTAGGGTTGGTAAACCTTTAAGAATAGTCTCAGATGCCATTTCCAGATGGGTTTTTTTTATGCTTTACACTTATTTACTTATTTGGTGTGTGTGTGTGTGTGTGTGTGTGTGCCACAGCATTCATGTGGAAATCGGGGGACAATTTGAAAGTGTGCCCTTCCACCATATGGGTCCTGAGAATCAAGTTGGTTGTCAGTCTCGGCATCTTGAGCCATTTCTCTGGTCCCATTTCAGATTTTTTAAAAAAGATTTATTTGTTTATGTATACGAGCACTTTGCCTTCCTGTTCATCTTCATGACAGAAGAGGACATCAGGTCCCGTTGTAGACAGTTGTGAGCCACTGTCTGGTTGCTGGGAGTTGAACTCAGGACCTGTGGAAGAGCAACATGTTCTTCTATATGCCGAGCAACTCTCCAGCCCCGATTTCAGATGTTCTTAGTTAACCAAGCTCGTGGACCTGAGATTTTCAGCTCCCCCGCCCCTATTTGGTTGTAGAATAACACACTATTGGGTTTTTTCCCCTTCCTTTCCACCCAATTCACAAAGACAGGGGAAGGAGAATCCAACAGGGAAACTGGCTTAGGACCACCCGGTGCTTTAGCATGGACACCAAGCCTAGGATGCTTGTTTTAATTGCAACACCAACATGTTAATGTGATATTCAGGGGTGTGTGTGTGTGTGTGTGTGTGTGTGCAAGCTTGGAGCAAGCGTGGGAGGGAACTGACTAGAGTAGGTTGGGTGGAGAGAGGGCGAAAGCCAAGGATAAATGGCTCTCTAGAACCTTCCGCTTTTAACACAATTTAGACTTGATTCTTGGATTTTCGTATGTCGACTTGAGAAAATTCTAAAAGGTCTCTGTTAGGGCTGTTACATAGACAAACCCTGCCTCGAAAAAAAAGTGTGTGTGTGTGTGTGTGAGTGTGTGTGTGTGTGTGTGTGTGTGTATGTTTGTCTTTGGTTGTCAAGAATTTCAAGAAAGGAAACCGGAAGCTCCTGCGCCGTTGGCGTCCCGTCGCCAAGGAGACGGGCCATTCCATTTCTTTGCAAGGATTAGTGTAAATAGTCTTCCCCCTTCCAGTCTGCAGCAAGGTGGCTGAATTACTTCGGAGAACTTGGAAGGGTTTACGCGCTCGGCCGGGGCTCCACAGGTGGGCGCGCTCCACTTCCTAACTTGCCTGGCCGCAGGGTGCACCCCCTGTCCGTATGGTGCAGCCCGGAGCGGCGCGCGTGGGGCGAGGGTTCCCATGTAGGGCAGAACTCTGTGGGCTTGCATCTCGGATATTGGGGTCTGATCTCGGAGGTCCCCAGGATGCCAGATCAGGCTAAGTCCCGGCAAGACTTCACGCGATGGAAAAAGAAGAAGCAACCCGTGCGCCGCACGGTCAGCCAGATCTGCCCGCCGCCCCGACGGCCGCTGACCGTGGCAGACATCCGTCCTGGCATGGAGAACGAGAGGCTGGGGGTCGTGCGTGACTCCATGTTTCAGAACCCGCTCATCGTCAAGGTGAGCGCTCGGGCGCGCTCGTCCCCTCCCCTGGCACCTACGCTGCCGATGGGTTCCAGCTGCCGAGCCCTCTGGTCTCAGGGTCCGGGGTCCAGGCGCAGTGTCGGAAACCAGCTCTAGGCAGGACAGGTCTGGACGGACAGTCGGCAGTCGCGGCCGGTCCCCGAGCCTCAGTGCCCTTAAGTGGCACACATTAGCGGAAGACTGTGAATAGGGCAATCCCTGCGGGGCTCGATAAACCCACAGGGTGAGACAGGTCCCAGGCACCCTTTCATGAACTTGCCACCCGAAGATCCACTTTTCCCAGCACCTTTGGTCTACTGTGCAGCAGGCGCTCTGGAGCTCTCGTGGAAACCTTTAGTGTGTGTGGGGAGGTGCAAATACTCTCTTTGAGGCCTGGCCAGCACTCGCGTGCGAGCAGCGTTATGGCTGAATCACCTTCCCGTTCAGTGCCGGACCTCTGTGCTTTACTCTGTTTTCCCGCCTGGTTGAAAACTCCACGTGGGCGTGGCTCTGCTCCTAAGTGCTAGGGAAATCAAGTTAAAGTTTAGCTTTTATCATTGTAGTCCTGGAGCAAGTTTACCTTTGGCCACTAGAGGGCAGTGTGCTTCTAAGAATGTACTCAAGTTTCCCAGGTTCCGGAGGGTGATGGGCGCGCTGATGGTAACCATGGATTCAGTAATCATGATTTCTCTGACTCCGGGCACTGATTAGAACCCAGAGTGGTGAGATCTCTCTCTCTTTCCCTTCCTCCTTTCCTCTTTCTCCTTTTTCTTCCCTCCCCTCCTCTTTCTCCTTTCTTCCTTTTCTTTCCCTCCCTTCCCCAACTCCTTCCTTTCGTTCCTTCTTTTGTGAAGGGAACTTGGCTTTTCTTAGCTGTGCTATAACTGGCTGCATTCTTTGACTCCTGGGAAATCAGTGACGCTCCTGGACCTTTTTGGGCTAGTTAATGTTCGCAGCAGGACGGAAGTTAGGTGCAGTATTGGGTGCAGCAGCATCCTTTGCACCAGACTTCTGAGAGATGGCTCCCCAGTGCGACAGAGCTTTGCTTACTTCTTGGAGAGCTGACCTCAGCAAGCACGTGGGACAGACGGTTGGGATTTACTGTGGTGGGCCAATGTTCTCTCCAAGTGACACATGTATATCTGCATACACACGCATTATACATGTACAGATGTATAGCAAAAACACATGTTCTATATAGCGCACCATATGTTTAGCATTTGTACATAGCAGTACATGTAAATTCGGTATATGAAACACCCCTCTCTTCCCCCTTTGCTTTCCCCCTGGTTATGTCAAGGACAGCGTTTGAGCTGTAAGGTGGCACCAGCTTAACAGCCTTCTGGATAAATTCCATCCTTATTTCTGGAGCTGGAGTTGAGGAATGATTATTTCTTTACAACGTATTGGTGGTGATTGATCCACCAATGGGGTTCTGTTTTCAGGCTGTCCTGGTCCATGGGGATCACCAGTGCAGGGTCCTGGCGCTCTTTGGTGACAGCAGGGGGCAGTGTTTCCCTCCAACTCTGTCCTTGGTTTTCGAAGCACCGGTAGCGGTTAGGATGCTGATGTCCGCATTCAATATTTACCCCTTTCTGTAAGATCTTCCGTCAAAACCCAGCCTGCTTTAAGGTTGGCAGAGAGGGAATGTGGAAAGGAAGCTGAGCCTCTTCTTGTTGCCAGAGCGCCCTGTAAGCCAGTGCATGGGGAAATCTCTGCCAGGCTTTTGACTCCAGGTTCTACCAGAGCTGGTTTAAAAGCCACGCCACTGCATCCCAGCCAGCTTTCTCTATGTAAAGAAAATTTGAATTCTGAAACATTGGGAGTTTGGGCTTTAAAGAAAAGAGAAATAATAAAAGTAGTTAGGGTTCCAGAACATTAAAAAAAAATACAGTTCTATCATTTCTCCTGTGCTTGTAGGCTCCTTTACAGGGGTTGCTCATTTTGTTGGCCCCAGTGTGGGGGTGAATCCCTCCTCCTCCTCGTGTGAGTATGCTTGGGTCTGGTGTCTTGGGGGATGATGGGAACTGAGTTGTATTTTCCTGTTGTCTCTTCCTGAGCCTGAAGGAGTGTGCATCTCTATCAGATGACACGGCACCCTGGAAATATTTATTTCCCCGCATGAAGAGGCCGTCACTCACATTGTTTCCCCTCATGGCAAGGTTCAGCAGTTTTTGTTTGTTCCTTTTCTTTTCTTTTTCTTTTTCTCCAAGTTCAAATGCAGCCAAACAAATACAGCCCTGGTATTTCCCACCCATGGAATTTACCAGAACGTATCTGCACCAGTTATTCAAAAACATGTCTTCAAGAGGGCACAGCAACCAGAGGGAAAGGAAAAGCCTCAGATTTGCAAGCAGGTGTTTTTTATTTGTAGACACTCACCAACCGATCACCTCGCAGAAACCCAAGCAAATGGCTTGTTTAATGGTGGTTAATTGCGGCGCGATGATGTTTCATGCAATCACAAAAGTAATGTAAATAGTTTCCATTGGCAAGGGCTTCTCCATTGTCAAGTGATGTGCAGCCAACCAGCTTCCCCTTCAGGGGGACTCTGTGGGAAGTATAAAATTAAATTGAGAAAGAATCTAGCTTCATCCTGCTTGATTCTCATTTCCCTAGAATTCGGAGACGCAACACAGAATCCTGCCACAGTAGCCTTCCAGGCTCCCTCACAAAACCTGTCAGGGTGTACCCTTCCCACCGCGGCAACTTGGCTGATACCCTGTTAATACAATTCCGGGAGAGGCTGCGCGGCTGGCTCCGCTGACAGCTCTGAGTCTGCTGTCGCCCCGGAGAGGCAGGTTGCTGCACCGGAGTGGGACTGACTGAACCCAGCACCCTCAGAAAGTACAAATGATCAGGGCACCTGATTTTTTCCATAATTTATTAGTGACTTTGTTTTTCTCTTTCCTGTGGGGGTTTATGTCACAAATAAGAAGAGCACACATTTGTAAAATAAAGTAATAGAATCAAGCATTTGAGGCTAGAAGGAAGTTTGCCCACATCAAATGTAACTCCTTTTGGGAGGTTTAGGGGCCTCTGCCCAGGGGAAGACACTCACCCTGGGGTGCTGCTGTGACCTGGTATCAGAAGTGGGAAGAGGCCCCTGTCTCCTGAATTACCTAACCTCATGCTGTTTTGGCTGCAAGCCATGACTAATTAATCAAGGGTAACCCAGGTGTGGTACATCCTGTAGAACAGGCTGTCGAAAGTGCTAGCAAGTGAGTCTGACCCAGCACCATCCACTCAGTGTCCCTGCAGAAGCCAGCAGTATGGATTCCTCAGGGTTTTTAATGTTTAGTAGGTGCGGGGGGGAGGGCGGGGTATAGAAACAAGTTCTGAACTTAGCCTCTGCCCCCAGGGACTTGACCATTTAGGGTTTACCTGGAGAAATAAGATACAGAGATACAGGCACACACAGACTCATATGTCCAGGCATGTAGACACAACTATACCATTGGACATACACACACAGACACAGAAGCACAGGTACACATACGAAAGAAGTCAAACAACGTCACAGGTCACCTCCTCTGAGTTTTCCAGTGAAGCACAAGCCCAGGGCATTCAGTTTTAGGGAGAGGCTATCGTAAGAAGGTCCATGCCAGGGGTCAGGAGACTGGCAAAGCCAGCCCTCTGTGCAGAGTGATTCTGCTCTTCCTTCCACTCCAAGCATTAGGGGCTGTTCGCGCCAACTCAAGTTCCAGTTCCTAAGACTCAGTGCTGTGTTGAGTTGTTATCATTACCAGCACAAGGATGTGTTTATCCGGAGTGAGTGTGTTCAAATTGGATGCTCTACAAAGCCAGGCGAGCACACCATGCCCACTAATAGCCTAACAGCTCGAATAAATATTACTGCTGGTGGTGAGCGTAAACACGGAGACAGTGATGGGCATTAGGAAGGCAGGCTGTCCAAAGCCTGCCTGCACAAAGATACCAGTGTTTTCATTATAGGGTGGGAAAATACTGCGTGTGGTCTGTCTGCCGAAGAGAATATGGCTGTGATCGCTCAGCCCCCTTACATTCAATTACAGTGTAATGGGAGGAAATGAAATGTTAGTGAGGAATTAAAAACCATCCTGTGGTTCAGTCTGGGCCGGATGCACTGCTGTGGGTTTATCCATCCTTGTTTTCTCTGTTCCTAACTCGTCCTCTCCCTCCTCCCTTCCTCCTCCTTCCCACCTCCTCTTCCCTCCTCCCTTCTTTTCCTCTTTCTCTCCCTCCCCTCCTCTTTCCCTCCTCCCCCTCTTTCTCCTCCTCCCTCTCACTTCTCTCCCTCTTCCTTCTTGTGAGTGTGTGCATGTTTGTGTGTGCACACTACTGCATTGTGTGTGTGTGTGTTTGTGCATACCTGTGGGCATGTTTGTGTGTGTATGTGTGCAGAGGTCAGAGGTCAACCTCAGGTGTTGTTTTTCAGAAGCCATCCACCTTGGTTTTGAGACAGGATCTCACTAACCTAGAACTCAAAAAGTAGGTTAATCTGGCTGGCCAGGAGCCCCAGGGATCCACCCATCTTCACCTCCCAAAAGCTGGGATTACGAGTGAGAGCCACCTTGTCAAGTTTCTTTCTTTCTTTTCTTTTCTTTCTTTCTTTCTTTCTTTCTTTCTTTCTTTCTTTCTGCTGTCCCCTTTTCTTCATTTAAATCAAAGCCTCTCTCTGGTTGATGCCCAGCCTCATCCTTCAGGGGGCAGCAGATGAAGCAGTGCACAAAACCCACTGCCCAAGTCTGTGACCATTCCAGAGAGAAGAGCTGCCCTCTCTCCTGGCTCCTCACTGCAGCCCCCAGGGCAGCTGCCTCCTCCGCTGGCTCCTCACTGCAGCCCCCAGGGCAGCTGCCTCCTCCACTGGCTCCTCACTGCAGCCCCCAGGGCAGGCGCCCTGCTGCAGAGTAACCTTTCTCTTCTGTCTCTTAGCACTAGAGGGTGCATAAATGAAGACAAGACCTCAGAACTGGGGTTCTTCCTATTAAACCCAGCCACCCTCTGATCATGTGACT